GGAAAGAGTCTTCCTGTAATGTTTCTGTGCTTGCTCCATCTGCATAAATAGCTCTCCTTCGTTCCTTGGTATCTGTGAGAAGCTTTTAGCCTGCCTGTGAGAAATATTTGGGTGACAGACATGCCTCGTGAATTAAAGGAATGTTCTGTGTTCTCGCAGTATCTAGTTTTGTTTGGCAGGGAAAATCTTTCATGGAGAATGGTTAAGCAGGGATCAATGACATCACCCGGCAGGAAACACTCTTGGAAGAGTTATCAGAGCAATCTGGCACGATGATAACAGTCTCATGAATAACCCCTTCAGTAGCTGAGTACTTAAAAGAGTTTATATCAGTGTATTGACTGAAATACAGATGTCGCAGATACTGGGTTTTGTTGTTAGCATGAAATTTCACTCGGTAAGTGTGCTATCCAGTTGTTACTCCATGTGTGTACTCTGGATGCTAGGTTTTTGTCGGTGTGTTCAGCTTCACCAGAAGCAACACCAAATTGCTTCAATGTTTAGCACCTTTAGTCTTCCTCAGAACTGAATCTTCCTTACTGGGGGGAAGGAAAAAAAGCACCTGTTAATGGTAAAGTAATCTTGGTGAGCTACAAAGTTGCATCTTAACGAATCTGAAGGATGTGGCACTTCATTATATGTGTATATATACAGTAGCTTTGAGAAGCAAGTGCCATAGCTGCTGGAAGCCATCACCAGTTGACAACCAGAAAACAACTTCGGCTTTTGCCTAGCAAGAAAAAGTTTGGGCCGTTTGCTTTGATTTCAAGGTGGCTTTTTGATGGGCTGAAGGTTGCTGGAGAGTGAAGCAATTTGGTGTTTTTTCACATGGAGCTGAACTCACCAACAAAGACCTGCTTGGAAGAGGGAAGGAAGCAGGCAGTGGTAATTTCAAATCCCTAGAACCAAAGTGGGAGTGAGCTGGATGAAGAAGAGGTGGCTATGGAATGTGGGCTTTTGGTTAGAGGGCAAGCTAGGGGAGGGAAAAAGGAATTGGAGCACTCATCACTTCAAGATACAGCATATGTTGACATTATTATATTGCCATAGCAAATTATATGATCTCTTGAACTCATAGCAGTAAGTGTGTTATTAGTTCTCTTGCTGGCAGGTCTTCGTTTGCAGTGAGATGCTAGATGAGAGATTTTAAAATTGTTTTTTTTCCATGTTTGGTACCTCCAAGTGATGCAGCTGCCTGTGAAATACCTTATTTTGTCAACAGAAGTTAAAATGACTGAGGTTGCAGGCATCACAAAGAAAGAGGAGAAAAAGTTTCATTTTCAAGCTGCTTGCTCTTTGCAGAACACTCAAGTGTGAAAGGAAATGTTGAGAGGAAGGAGGCTTGAAAAATACAGAACGAGTTTTTTTCTAGGGTTTGAAAATGTGGTTTCCTGTGAATGCTAAGATGTCTTTAAGCTGTGTTTTGTTGGTTAGTTTCTGGAAAGGATGTGAACTTTTCTCTTTTAGGCTTCAAAATGGTTCATCATACATATGGTGCCTGAATTTATTGTCTAATGATGTTAAAAGGAGAAATGGTTGCTAAAAATCCTTGTTAATGAAGAGTCAAATACTTCAACTCTGTGAAGCAATTAGCACTGTTTCAAACTCTGGGTATCCAACCAGGAAGGCTTCTTTTTTAATTAAAGTGTGCAACAGTGAGTAATATATTGGTTTGGGTTTTGTTGTGTGTTGTGGGTTTTTTTCCATCATATGATTTTTAATAAGCTGAAAAACATTATTTTTCCAGATCTGTTCCCCACCTTCCATAAAAATGTCCAAGGTAAGAATAACATTTCTATCTTCCAGTGTAACAATGTGAAAGAGATATTTGCTTTTAAATATGTTTAAATATATACGTTTAAATATGTTTTATAGGGCTCTGAGCAACTTGGTTTAATGGGAGGTGTCCCTGCCCATGCAGGGGTTGGCTCTAGATGATCTTTAAGATCCTTTCCAGCCCAAACCATTCTGTGATTCTATAATAATCTGCAAGAGCAGAATGTGTAACTTGCCCCATGTTTCTTGGTGGTGTGTATGTTAAATTTATGGCTCATAAATAAGAGAGAATTTGCATTTAGAACACATAGTATTGAAAGATTGAGTAAACATATATTGAAGTACTTACCTACAAGTATAAACCACTGCAGTTAGTTCATGACCAAAATTAAATCTTCCAAGAGTTATTGAGTTGCATACAAGCTTCCTGGTGTATTTTCATTGAAACTTCTATTCTACTGTATTTTTTAGCAGGAATCATTTAAGAAAAGCATGTTCTTAGATCTAATTTCTTAATTTACTAAGAGTCAACTGATCTTCTGGAAAACTCCTTAATAAACAATGTAGTAGCTTAAAATATTGAAATGCTGGGATTAATCTAATTCTTGGTCCCCTGCATTTGGTATAATAGATAAAACATCCATGTTAGTTTATTGGGGTGAAATGAATGATGAGGGGTACTTGGGTAATGTGTTTGAAGAGGGAAACTACTAGATGTGAAGATTTCTCTGTAGTATTTGTGTAAGTGGGCATTTGAAACACTTGTGTAAATCACTACGACCCTCCTTCCCCCTGCTCACCCTCCTTTAAAAGAGATCTTGAAAAGAGGACTTCCAGCAGATGGCTATCACATTAGTAGTTGTTCATAGTTTTCACCTGGATGTAATTAAAAGAGATTAGAAATTACCACCTTTTTATTTAAGCTCATGAACACTGGACACAAGCTTTTTTATTTTCTGTGTGTGTGAAGACAGTGTTTAAAAAAGTGTGTGGTTAGTGAATGCACTTCATACCTTGATAAATACATGTTTGGGGATTTTGTGTTTTTTTTTACTGAAGGGGGATCTCGGCTGGATATCTGAATAAATTAAACTTTGAGTTTTTTCAAACTCCAGGTGAATGCATTTGTTCTATACTTGATTGTGAAAGTCTTTAGTAGGAGCACCTGTGTAGGTTTCTCTCTGAATGTCAGGTAGTTTCAAACTGTTTGAAATAACTGAGAAAAGCAGTTACACAAGCAAGTATGTCTGAAATGGTTGTTTATTATTGTCTTATTATTTTCTTTATAGCAGCAGCCTGCTCAGTTTACCAATCCAGAAACCCCTGGCTATGTTGGATTTGCAAACCTTCCCAATCAGGTTCACCGGAAGTCTGTGAAAAAGGGCTTTGAATTTACTCTTATGGTGGTTGGTAAGGAAATGTTTTATAGTCCTTTTCAAAATTAGTACTTGTTCACAGGGGATTTGGAATGAAACTGAATGTTACTTCCACTGTTGTAAGGTTTCAGCTTGCATCAAAAAGCTCTTCTGTGCTGTAGCATTTACTTTTCTTTTATTGTGTATTAATCCATGCTACAAGTCATGTTTGCAGTTGTTTTCCATGCTACAAACCATGTTTGCAGTTGTTTTCTGTGCTACAAACCATACTTGAATACATTAGCAAGTTCGTGGGAGAGTGAAGAGATTTTGTTGTGCACTCCAGTGATCATTACTTCCTTTTTTCTGTCTTATGGGATTCAAACGTTCCATTTAAAATACAGCCTAAAGCTGTTTCTGCATTTGAGTACAATCTTTGTTTGCTTGCCTGTTTTAATTAAGAGAAGAGCATTAAGGACACTCTTCTATTTAAAATGTTCTTTGTGGTCCTGTTGCTCAAAAGAATCTGAACAGATATTTCCACCACTTCTAAATACTCTTGTAAAAGAAGAATGAGAATTGGGTTAGTTGCTTTTTATTTGAGCTGTTACTTTTAAAATATATCTTCATTTTTTTTGTTAGCAGTTGTAACTTAAAGTTTGATCCTATTCAATATATCATTGAGAATCTGTGTTGGAATCTGGAATGGAAAGAGAAATCTAGTATGTGTCTGCAGGCATGACCTTGATCCTCTCAGAAGTTGGTGGTTTTTTTGCAAATTAAGTAGGCTCCCAAGTCAGGCTTGGGCATCTCCTGTGTCTCTCCTGGTCACACTGCTTGGGAGCGGTAGCTTCTGAGTTTTGGTGTTTGAACTCTGTGTTTCTTGCTTTTAAAATAGGCTTTTGCAAAAAAGGACATAATGGAATTAGGTTCTTTATTACCAGGTGTCACAAGAAGTAAGTAAATCTCATTTGGATGTTAGATTTGTCCAAGAGAGATCACAGGGGAAATGAGGAGAGGTGAGGCAGTACATGATAGAAGGTGTTTAAGTTCTAAATTGTTTTGGATTCCAGTAGTTACAGGAAGAGTCTGTCCTCAAACCTTTTATTAGTTTTGCCAAATGACAGCCCCAGCATTGCTTTAATCTTGTTTCTGTCTTTTGTAGTTAAGTGCTGGACAGAGTTGGCGCTTATTTTTTGTCTGCCTTCTTTATCATAGTTGTTTACTGCATCTTTCCTTGGTTTTGCTTAGGATAATATATCATAATGTATATCTTATAGAATCCAAGAGTAAAGCCAAACTATAAGCAGATGTTTCACGTTATGATATCTACTTTAACTCTTCAGAATTTACTGTTCAGTGCTCCTAAATATGAACAACTCTGAGAAACAAAAGATAGACTTTCTCTGCTGCAGCCAAACTTAATTTCCAGATCTCTCTTGAGATTTAGTGAAAATAGTGTGATGGGAAACAGTTCTGGTAGAAAGTTGTGTTTGATCTATAAGATCAAACAGTTGTTTGTTGGTTCTGGTAAAATAGAAAATGGGAGGAAATGGTGTCAAAGTCACAGAAAGGCAATTAACCTCACCCATGTCTCAGAGTTGTATTTAACTTTGCAGTCATTACCAGTGTAATGCCAGTGTTTGAAGGGATAAATTAAAACTACAGGGAAAAGAACTTGGAGAAAAGTAATTTCATTGAAAATTTGGAATGACACTTTAAGACACACTAGCAGATGAAGGCAGTTGATGTCAGAGAAAATAAACTGTGCTTTAGATTGCTGATTATTTCAACACTTTGGAATGTGAATTCTTTCTCTTGAAACATGCAAGGGGTTTAGGTTCTCTTGTGGGCTATATCACAATGCCTGTATTGAATTATTCTTCATTAAGTTGCCATGCTTCTTAATTTCTGAGCAGAAGAATGTTTCTTTTAAAGCACACAATCCTAATCAATTATTTTTCTACTTTGCCATGGTTTTTTCCGCTGTTGTTTATTGTGGTTTGTGAAACTATGGGGTTTATAACAATTTGGCTGCATGGCTGTGTTGCTTCCAAAGAAATCCTAATCACTTGTATTTATTAACAATGTCATCTTTGTTCTCATTACTAAGCCAGGAATTCATCTAAATAGTTATTTCAGTTGAGAGTCACTAAAGTCTAACTACTTTGGCCAGTAGTTAGAATAACTGCTCTTTTCATTAATCCTGTGAAAACTGTTTGGGTTTACATGTAATATTTACCCAGACTGAAAGTATGGAATGTGCCACTGGTTAAAATAATTTTGTTTTGCTGAAACAACTCCAGGTGACTGTTGAGTTGCTCTGGCTTCATGTCTCTTTCACTGGTGAAGGCTGCACTGGTAAAATCTGATCTTGAGAGGTACATTCTGGGAGGAATTAAAAACTGGCAGCTCCCTGTCTAATCTTGATTGAAAAAAATAATAAATTATAAATACATTATAATAAATAATTCCATCTCTTTTTTTTCTTTTGGTCAGATATTTTTGTCAGACTCCTGTTGCAGAATTGTCTCTGTTACTCAGAAGGATCATGCAGCCCATCATTTTTAACATCTCATTTTTTAATTAATTCTTTCAACATCTGAAATAAAACCAGAATTCTAAAAAAAATTATTTTTTCAGTGAATTGAAGTACTGAGCCCTTGGAATTACTGGTCTTTTTTTATGCTGTAAACATTTTTTCCGATTGTTATCTTGATTTTTAGCTAATTATTATAGAATCATAGGCTGGTTTGGGTTGGAAGGGACATTAAAGATCATCTAGATCCAACCCTCCGGCATGAGCAAGGACACCTCTAGGAGGTTTTGCAACTCCGTGGCTCAGTCAGTAGAACAAAAATGTATTTATGGTAACTGCTGGTAATCCCCAGTTCCTCAGTTATAAAAATGGTTCTGTGTGTGTGCTCAGGGGCCTTCTTGTTTGCCATATTAGCATGAAAAGCAGAAATAAATCACACTTTATGCTGGTTGACTGTGTGGAAGTTCACCAATGCTTTTTTTTGTAGTCCTCACTAGGGGTGATCTTTTCCCATCCTGCAGTGACAGCAGAAAAGCATGCCTTAAAGAAAGGAGACATGAAACAGGAAACTTCGAAGTCTAAATTGATCAGAGCTCCACTTGACTAGCAGATGTGATAACAAATCATCAGTGTCAGCTTTAAGAAGTGTATTATAAAGCTGAGATGTAAAAATTGTTATTCAACCTTCTTGCACAAACTTTTCTGAGACGAGATTATAAATGTACATTTATAAAGATTTACATTAAGCATAAACAATGTCAGTATATAAATAGTATGTAAATAGTATGTAAATAGTCAGTTGCTAATTTAATGATACTGAAATTATTTATGTGATTCATTATTATATTATGACAATGTTTATGTTGAATTTATCTTTATAATTCATTTCAGGTGAATCTGGATTGGGAAAATCTACATTAATCAACAGCCTCTTCTTGACAGACCTCTACCCAGAAAGAGTAATCCCAGGAGCTGCTGGTAAACATAGCTTTTTTTCTAGTTTCTCTTTTCTTGTTATGATTTTTGGAGTTGAATAATTTTATTTTTGGGTTTTAGTAGGATAATCAGCTAAAACAATCAAACTTTTCTTAATTTATAATCTGTTGCAGTTTGAAATCTGTTGTTTGCAACTTGATTCCTTTGTTTTGGGTTGATATTTAGTGAATGTCTACTTCCCCTCCTTTTCTTCTTCAGTCCCTTGATCCTTTTTTATTCTGTTAATTAAGACATACAATAATCCAGAAAAAAAAAATACGATAAAAATATGCCATTTTGTTCCCTCTTTGCTCCTTGTTGAATGACTTGCTTTAATAATTTATTGTCTTAGCTGATGATTACTTATAATTTTCAACCTTGGGGAAAAAAATCTATTACTTGAGTATTGTTTTCTGAATTGCTGATCACCTACAGGGTTTTTGCAGTGCCTTTTGCTTTAGTTTCTACCTTACATTTAAGAACAGTATGAAATTTCATATAATCTAACCAAATCTGAAGATGACATACTGAGTCTTGCTATGAAGTTGTCAGGCCTTAGGAGGTAACCTGCAGAATAATATGGATACAGTTGTATGTGCTGAGCTAATCTCAAAATGACATAGTATTGTAAATTCAATTCTGAAAGTTCGAATGTGGTGTTGTTTTAGAGAAGATTGAGAGGACTGTGCAGATTGAAGCCTCAACAGTGGAAATTGAAGAGAGGGGTGTGAAACTACGTCTGACAGTTGTAGATACACCCGGGTACGGGGATGCTATCAACTGTAGAGACTGGTATGTGTACAGAGTCTATCTTGATCTGTGTCTGAAGACTGACATCCATTTCCTAGTTGTCCTGAGGGGACAGGAGTAAGTACCTGAAGTGGGATGATATTAATCATGATATGCAGTTCAAAGTAGGATGGTCCCACTGGCAACTCTAGCTCATTAAAACACTTCCATTCCAAAGGTGATTCCAAGTGATATTATACTCTTAAGTCATTATCTTCTCTTTTTTGGTGTGTTACATGAAGTGCTCAATTTGAGGTATGATTTTTTTGGAGAGATGAGTAAATTAATATTTGTCTGTGAACAGGCTGGTCCATCAGCAGTATGTCTTAGTGTTTAAATATGACATTTGATAGATCAAAACATGTTAAACAATCAAACCCAAAGATAAAGAAAATGCACTTTAAAAATGAAGCACAGAGTCTGAGAATGCTCAAATGAATGTGGATGAGATCCAGAGGTGGATTTTTACTTTTACACTAAAACCAGATTGTGGGGAACAATCCTTCCAACTTATATATATAAAGTATGCATAGTACTTTTTTGATTCTGGAATTCTAGTAACATTAAGATACAAGCTATTCTACTCCTAAAAACACCAGTAAATTAATATTTGTCTATGAACAGGTTGGCCCACCAGCAGTATGTCTCAGTGTTTAAACATTTGATAGGTCACTAAAATTATTGACCACTTGGGAATGAGCTTGATTTCTTGAATCTCTATTTGTTTTACAGTTTTAAGACCATCATCTCTTACATTGATGAGCAGTTTGAGCGATACCTGCATGATGAGAGTGGTTTGAACAGAAGGCATATTATAGATAACAGGGTTCATTGCTGCTTCTATTTCATTTCACCCTTCGGTCATGGGTAGGTGTTGCTCTGTCATTTTATTTTTTAAGTTATTTTACTTCAGGGAGTTTATGCCTGTTGATGTACATTTTCAGACTCAGGTTGTCATTACTTAAGGAAGTACTAGAACTGCTGGAACTGTGTTCTTTCTGTGTAAGGAGAGAGCTCTACATTGGTGTGAAAACAAATGGGTAATTCAGATTAAAAATACATTTCACTTTTTTCATATTTTAATTTTAGCCTTAAGCCTCTGGATGTTGAGTTTATGAAGGCCATACACAACAAAGTAAATATTGTACCAGTGATTGCAAAAGCTGATACTCTTTCTCTGAAAGAGAGAGAAAGACTAAAGAAAAGGGTAAGTATTTTTCCTGGATTGCAGAAAAGTGTTGTCGTTTGGTTATAGCAGAATGTTCACTGAAGAGAGGGGCTTTCTCATTCACCCTTCCTCTGACCTAACCAAGAAAAAGACAATCTCATGCACAGTGTAACATTATTTAATATGTAGTTTGGTATCTCATCCAATTTTTTGTTATGTATTTAACTGCGAAATTGGGTCTTAACAAGTTGCCTGTGAAATGGCAGATTGACTACATTAACAGTTACATTAGGAGTGAATTTTGAAACCTTGGAAGAATATTTACTTGTATTTGCAAATGGTGATTGCTCTCTTACCTGTTTAATCACTTCCAAAGCCAAGACATACATCCTTCTATAATATGCATATATTTTTTTTACCCAGTCAGAAGTCTGATGATTGAAAAATAGGACATTCTGAGATTTTTCTGGTTTTGTGGTGGTTTTTCTTCCTGCATGTCACTCTCTTCTAACACATTCCAGTTCTTTATTCCATAAGCAAGACCCCTTGATTCATTAAATCTTGCAGGACTTGATGCTGTATTTGCTGAAGTGGAAAAAAATGCATCATGTTAATAACAGAATTAATAACAGGACTAACTTTCCAGGAGGCACACTTGATCCATTCATTGCTGTTACATTTAAAACTTGATATTTTCAGTCATTCTGAAAATCCTTATAGTTTTAAAAAATAGAGAAGTACACTTCACTTTGAAGTGCATATTGTGCTGGAATTATGGCAGATGGATTCCAGCTGCAGATGCCATTCTTAGCAGTCATGGAGATGGAAAAATCTATCTGTGGTGTCTGTAGCTCTCTTAGATTTTTTAATACTCCCACCTCTACCCCCCAGATACTAATTCAGAGGCAAGAGCAAGGAGTTGCAGGCTGTTCAAACAATTATGACTTCTGAGTCAGTGCTTTAGAACAAAAAAGAAGCAAAGGGGCAAAGTTTTTTTTAAAAAGCTTGATTTCATATAATGGGTTGGAAGGGACCTTCAAGACCATCCAGATCCACCCCCTGCATGGGCAGGGACACCTCCCACCAGCCCAGGTTGCTCTAAGCCCCATCCAACCTGCCCTTCAACGCTGCCAGGGATGGGGCAGCCACAGCTTCCCTGGGCAGGGTCTCACCACCCTCACACTGAAGAATTTCCTCTTCATGTCTCACCTAAATCTACCCTCTTCTAGTTTTAATCCATTACTGGAGGATTTGAAATGTACATAAGAAACATAGGTTTCTTATATGTCATCCACAAAGGACAGTGTTTATTTAAACACTATAATTTGTCTGAAAGTCTGTGGCAAGTCGTTGTTGAATATCATGAAGAAATATGTTTAAAAGAAATAATTACACGGTAATTTGGATCAGTGAGTTAGGACTAAATTTCTCGAGAGACTGTGTAACTGGTGAAGAAATTTTACCTTAAATTTAAACATACGCATACATGTATATGATCTTGATTTCTTTTATTTTAAATCTCAGATTCTGGATGAAATAGAAGAGCATGGCATCAAGATTTATCACCTGCCTGATGCTGAATCAGATGAGGATGAAGATTTTAAAGAGCAAACCAGGCTCCTGAAGGTATGACTGGCTTCATGGTTTACATTTGTGCATAATACACTCTTTTCAGATTGCTCAGATGGCTTTAGAACAAGATACACACTGTCACCTGTGATGAGACCTTGAGACTGTGTGTCTCTCTACCCAAGCTTCCCTAGCTAGAAGATGGTGGGAACAATGACTTTTCTTTAGAGCTTCAAATTAAAAGCATTACAAACTTACTACAATCATACATAGTGCTGAGCAGAACAAGAGTTGTTCTTGGAATTGTTTGTTGTGATTCATCATTAGAAATGTTGTTTTCTTGCTTTCAGGCCAGCATTCCATTTTGTGTAGTGGGATCCAATCAACTCATTGAAGCCAAAGGTAAAAAAGTTAGAGGTCGACTCTACCCATGGGGTGTAGTTGAAGTGGAGAACCCAGAACATAATGACTTCCTGAAGCTGAGGACCATGTTAATGTAAGTTAGAAAAATTCAATTACATGGTAGTTCTAAAAAACATTCACCAGGAAGATATTCAAACACTGTAATGGGGTTTGGAGCAGTTGTGGAATCCTTGGAGACATTCAGAGTTAGTCTGGAGAAGGCCTTGAGCAACCTTGACCTGGCTGGCTTGGCCCTAGGCTGGGACTGCACCACCTGGGCTCCATAGGTTCTTTCCCATCTGAATTACTCAGTGATTCTGTGAAAATATTTGTTTAATTCTTTTGCTGAACACAGTGTTGTATTGCTATTCACATCCCCAAGAATATGAAAGAGTTTGCTTCACACCTTGTGCTTATTTAAATGTATCTGTATGGGTAGATATATATCTGCAAAGGAGAAGACTTCAGAAGTCCAGTGGTTGATTTTTTCTTTTCCAGGCTTTGCTACTCTGCTTCCCCTACTCAGTGCTGCTTCATGAAATACCTCACCCAGCTTATGTCAGGGCTGCCTCAGGGGCTGAGGTGATCTCTCCACATCTCTTTTTATTGCACCAATTTAACTTCAATTAGCTTTTAAATTACCACGTTAAATGGATGTATATGCTGAACACATTGACTCAATGCAGTGCTGAATGTGAGAGTTGGTTAAGCAAGCTGATGTGACATGGGTATATTTTTATTTATTTGTTTTTAATTATTTTTTCCCTGCAGCACCCATATGCAGGATCTTCAGGAGGTGACCCAGGATCTTCACTACGAGAACTTCCGCTCGGAGAGGCTCAAACGAGGTGGCAGGTTGTCATCTTATGCTCTTTCTTCCCCTCCTGAATTCATTTTTTGGCCTCTCCTACCATTTCGTTGCTAGGATTTGGTAGATCGTGCAAAACTCTGTAGCTCCAGTCAGCACCCAGTTTAGTCAGCCAGCTTACACTGACTGTGAGAAAAAGTCTTACATGATTCTGAAGAGACAGTTTTGCCATTAAAAGGGTGTAGCTACATCTCTGCTTTGTTTTAAGGCTTGAACACAGTTGCATTGGAATGTTTAAGGTAAATAAGGGCAGATGCCTATGATAAAAGTTGTCCTCAAAAATCTGCAAGTCAGTGCTGACACATTAAAGCGTTTTGGTTTTTTTCAGAATTTAGCTCCTGGAATATTTGGACTTTCTTTCTAAAGAGAAACTCAAGTCCTCCTGCAGTGCTTTATTAAAGATGGTATAAATAAACTGTCTTTGCATAGCAGTCACAAAGTAATGTCCTTCAGCCCTGTTTTGAGCTGTGGTGGGGAGGGCACAACTATTCTGGTAAGAGAGACAGGCAGAACACCCCATTTTTAAGTAAAATGTTTGTCAAGTTGTGTTTGAGAGTTCTTGTTGAAATCTGGGGTATTTTCTGGCTTAGGGTTTTCTGTTGCTTCTCTTATGTCAGCCACTAGAGGGTTTCATAATTACACGTTTCAATGGGCTCGATAAGGAAAACTCTTTTACAAAATGTGATGCTACTGACATGGGTTTTGTCACATGCCAAGTCAGTTTTCAGGAAAAGGAGTTTGTCTCCGTAGCATTGACCTAGGAGTCTAGTTTTCCCTTCAGACAAGATGACATTCTCTTCTTCCCTGGCTTTTAAATCCTGTCTTCTATCAAGTTCTGGTGCCTGTTATACAACCCCAAAGCCTCTAAGAACATCATTGGTGTTCTCTAAGAACATTGTTGATTGCAATCAACAAGCTGTAATTGCCAAGCACTGCCAATGGAATAGGTGCATTTTGGAAATAAACTCATAAACTACCCTCACTATCAGTTAACTACATACTAGGACCATGTTGTATGTGCAGAGGTCTGAAGTGCTTGGTGGACTGTGTTCACACACACAGAATCACCCTGATTGGAAATGACCTTGAAGATGATCAAGTCCAACCATAACCTAAATCCACCAACCATAACCTAATCTACCTGTTCAGTGCTTAAATCATGTCCCTAGGCACTACAGCTGTATTTCTTTTAAACACTTCACTAGTTTTAAACACTTCACTAATGTTCTTAGAGGATTTGGGGCACAGAGGATTTTTTTTTTACAATCTGTGAACTTTATAACAAGCATCAGTTTATTCCATTTGCACTTTTGATGGCACTTGTGTGATTACCTGTGTTAGCAGTTCCCCCTCAACATGGGATGCGAGAAATCTGTTAGCAGAGTGGTAGGTAATCTTGAAAATACAATCTGTAAAAATATTCTTGTTTGGTTTCTGAAGGTAAAACTGGAATGTCTTAATTAAGCAAGAATTTGCTGAGATACTGATGGAAAGCATTTACTTAATTTTGACAGGAATAGTCCAGCCTGATGTTGAAGTTGTACTTCTAGTTGTGTTAGTTGATGATACAAATAGAAGAATTGAGCATGTGTTTGCAGTGGGTCTGAATTGGCTGTGTCTGTGTGGCACTCAAGCTGCAATCAGTTAAGATACTGTTATGGTCAAGTAAACTGCTATACTTGAATACTGCTCAGAGCTGGTTTGCATTGATTCCTACATGAAAATTTGTCATATTTTAAAAATCACAGCTAGAATGGCTTATGCTTGTTCAGGGCATAACTTTATGAAGGAGTAAAGGATAAAGTGATGTCTTAAAAAGAATTTAAAAAGAAAAAATATGAATTCAGCTGTGTGGAGAACATGTTTCTATTAACTTTGTGTTATGAAACTGACTTACAAGATGTGTTTCAAGAGCTTTGTTTTTTATCAAAAAAACATTCTCTGGAAGTTAAAAATGCAGAATGCATGCACATTATTGAACAATATTAATCTTATTTTAGGAAAATAGAAGATGAAGAAGTAAATAAAGACCAGATTCTGCTTGAAAAAGAAGCTGAAGTAAGATGACAGAACTTTATACTCTTGTGAAGGGGGAATTTTAATTGTTGTATCACTACTTCAGGTCAAGTGATTTATATGATCTTGAAAATTTGAAAAGAACACAGAATTTGCTCATATAAATTTGTTCAAGGTGAATTAACAAAACAGAATGTGAAGAGGTGTAGAGGAGTCTCAGGATACTGGTTTATTGGAACAGGTGGAATCTAGGAAAAAGTCAGTTCAGCCATGCAGCAAAGGAGGGAACAATGGTAGGAACTGTCAGGAATAAAGAATGAAACAAATTCTCTTTCTGCCACTATGATAAATCCATTATGCATAGCTCTGACATTGTGTTCCTTGTCCCCAAAAAAGATACAGGCAGGACTGCAAGAAGTATTGGGATTAGCAAGAAGTGGGCAGACAGGCTGAAGTGAAGGTCTGAAGCAGGTCCTGTACAAAGGGAGATGGGGTTAATATTCCTATTGGGAAATGGATGACAGAGGGGAAGGATATAGTAAGGGGCTTATGTAATCATAGATGGCAGGATGAATGGGAATCTTCTATGCAAGAAACAGGTCCTGTTTAATGATTCATAGATGGCTGATTTCAAATTCAAACAATACACTTTTAAAGATAGTCTGTAAATTGTGGAACTCATTAACATGCTTATTTCAGTCAGTAAATTTCCAATCCCTTAATGGATGAAGTAGAGCAGTAGAAAATGATGCTATAGTCCGAGATTGTTACCCATCAGATAAAGATCATGCAGGTGTGTGTTGCCTCTTGAAGAAATAATAGTGTGGTGATACCAGAGTGGTATTCTGAGGTGAGATTGGGCTAAAAGATTCTTCTCTGCTACTTTTTCAGCTTCGTCGCATGCAGGAGATGATTGCAAGAATGCAGGCACAGATGCAGATGCAGATGCAAAGTGGAGAAGGAGATGGTAGTGCAGTTCATGGGCACCATGTGTAAAGTCTCTGGTAAGATGTTCTAATAGCTACTTTAAAGTTTGTTTTTTTTTCTTTTAACTGCTCATTCTTAAGAAGCTTTGGGAATGTTTCCAAGTTGGGTTTGCATAAGTTTAAATTTTAGTTTTCATTTTTAAGGTTTAACTACTGTTTGTGAAGTGAAATGGTTTGGAGCCAAACTAAGCATAAGTGTGGTTGTATGTGAGAATATGTATTTTTATATATATTCAGGTTTTTTAGCAAGTCAGTGTAATATATGCTGGCAAGAACCATGCAAGGAGTCTTTGAAATTGTGTAGACAGGTGATTCTCAGACTCAGGATGAACACATTGTTTGATTGTGATTTTTAAAATGCTTGCAGTTTTTTTTTGTTTTTAACTGTAAGAACCCAGCTGATCTGAAATTGTATTTTTTTTGTCTTTTTTTAGAGTACTTAAAGGAGACCTTCTGGAGTTGAATTTGGTGTTACACCAGGCCAGATACCTTTTGCTCAACATGTGACTTGGAGTTTGCCTTAGAGTTTGATGTGGATGTGCTTTGTGATAACTCTTGTGATACATATTTTATAACAGGTAGTCAGTTGATATTTTATACATTATACACATTTGAGTTTGGTTTTTTTAGTAATTCTTATATTGAGCTTATTAGGAATACAAAATAAACCTTGAAACTTTTCTAGCCTGATGTGGCAGTAGATAATAATTTTTAATATAGTTTATTAGCTCCCTGCTTTTAACTTCACATTACTTTCAGGAATAAGCAGCTGTCAGTGGTACCTTGTTCAGTGGCATGAAACAGTCGCCTCGCTAGGAATCCCTGCAAGGTTAGTTTTATGTTTTTTGCAGTGTTTACAGGGATGTGTCTGTGAGACCATCAGCCCTTTTTCTGTCTCAGCTCAGTGCAGATGATTTTCTTGGACTCTGCAAGTATCAAAATTCAAGCATATCTTTTGTCTTAACAAAAGAAATAAGAGGAAATGCCTCTTTTGAGGGGCATACTGTATTTTACATGACAGGCACAATTTCCTTCAGATTTAACCTTGAGGGACATATCTTCTTTATTGTTTGCCTAAAATTTCTTAGTCTATTGCAGATAATTTTTAAGAGTTTCTTGGAGGTTAGCACAAATCAATCCTGCTATTTTCTGGCACTACTGTGGCCAAATAAACTTGAATAATGCTGATACTGTTAACTGAGGTAAACCCCAAAGAGTAGTTTTCTATGCAAGGGCATTCCCTATATCCAAATGCATAAGGAATGCTATAATTCCCAGTGAGTATTTTCATAGGATTTTCATGACACTGCAGACTTAATTGCAGTATAAAATCTATACTAGCACACTTCTCTTTTTTTAAAGTGATCTGTGCCTGACAGCATCAATGCAAACTGTATTTTAAGGTCTTGCTCCAAGATGGAGTTAGCAGTATTACTTTGGAAGTGACTCTGGCAAGTTATACTTTTTAGAGGCCACTTCCCTTGACACTGATAGTAAAAGAGACTGGTTTGTAGCTTGGCTGGACTTCTACATATCGTGTCTGGTATTTTATTTGCAGAACATAACAGCTTCTGGTGTGCAGCTACCTCCATGGCAGCTGGTAAGGGAAGCAATAATACACTGTGGTTGTTTTTTCTGCTGCTTTTGATAAAGCCGGCAATCAGACTTCCTAATCTCATCTGTTACTAAATGTTATTATCTGAACAGCTAATAAATATAATTGCAACTTTTTTCTCTTCTTTGAGCTCAGGTGCAGCTGTGATTGTATTTTTAAATTTTTGTTTAACGTTTCTTGAAAAAAATTAATAGTATTTCTCCAGCTAATGTATAATTTCAGTGGTACTTAAGAGGCTAGATTAAATATAAACCTGCTAAGCAACTGAAATTCTTACCTGCCTAAAACTGCTGTTGATGAATTGGTTTGTATTTGAATCTTTCTAAAAATGTGAAGTAAAAATCTTGCATCTTAGCTCTTACCTGTGGAGCTCCAGTTTTGTTCTCAAAAGCAATTGCTGTCCAGGTTTTTAACAACTCATTTGACCTTCCCTAACCTTGCCAAAAGTGAAAATGAGAACCTTTGTGTAAAATGAGATGCACAGAAATGTTAAGTCCCTTTTTGTCAGGTATTGATGTGTAAAATTGAGATGGAACAACTTTTTAGGTTCTTGTCTTGCTCTTTCTAAAGAGTTTGTAGAAACAAAGTAATGTGGCAGTATTGTCAGAGAGCACTCCAGATCACCTCGCTTATTTCTAAATCTTTTGACATGTTGTGAATCAGTTGTCATAAATTTACCAAAAGAAGTGACTGTGAGGTTATCAATTACTTGGAAAGTCACGTGCTGTTCTTCAGTTGCTACAAACCTGTTAGTTGGGTTGTTTTTTTTCCTGATAATGCAGCATTTGTCTATTTTTAAGCTATTCTCTGGTATCTCTGTTAAGTGTTTGGAGCTCTGCATGCTTCAGGTGCTGTTGCCAAGGAGAGCAACTCTGGGACATTTGTGTTGTCACCTGTAAGCTTGGTAGGGTATCGTTAGCTGCAATAGTGAACCTGTACTTGAAGAAAAACTGTGAAATCCAAAATATATGCCAAGGGGGAATGGCTGTACATGTAACTCTGTGTATGTTGGTTTGATAGTTTTTTTTCCTTCATTTTCTAATATGGGAACAAAAGCAGATTGTCTGTGAATTTAGTGGTTTGGTCACTTCCTGTTGAATTCTTTTAGACAATATCTTATTCTTTGAAATACCATGTATCTGTTAAAATACTAGATGGAGATAAAGTATTGTTTGATTCTTAGGCAAAGAAATTTCCATCTGCACATTCTAGCAGGAGGAATATTTTCATATATTTCTTTTGTTTTTAATAGGGAAAAGCAAGTTTATGCCACTTGCCATTTTAACTGAAGTACTTGTAACAGCTAATTGTTGCTTCTTCCAAACTCTTTGGGACAGGGATTCATAGTGTGCTTGATGACTCTGAAGATCTACTTCCCTGTCACTTTTCTTGTGATGGTGTTGGATTTAATGGTTTCATGGTAAGACATGAAAAGTGAGTCTGTTTTTCTCAGATTCTGTCTCAGACAGACTCAACTACTAGTAAAAGAAAGACTTGGAGACAAAAGGTAGATATTTGGTGGCTTCCTGAGCTGGCCAGAGTTCTTTTCCTGGTACAGTAATGGTTTATTTTAGGAGCCAAAATTATTTTTGAATTTGCAGATGTTTATGGTTGGTGTCAAAAGTTAACTTGCTCTTGGTACAGAATTCTGTTATATTCTGTGTTGTGTACTATCATTAGCCAAACTGTAATAAAAATGCTAAAATACACTTTTTTTTCAATGATTCTTTATTATAATCAACCCTGGCAATATTAGTTTTGTGGTGATATGTTTTAAACATAAGGGAGAAATGCAAATATGGTTGAAAGAGAACACACTGATGAACCTGCATAAAATATGGTAATTGAGTAGTGTCTGCTCCAAGTGTCTTGGTACAGTGGATTTCCCTGTGGGTGTTCCAAGAGCTGCCAAAGTCCTGCCTATGGAATCTTGCTTTTTCAGCATCTCTCACCAAGCCTGCATGTCCCTTAATTAGTATGTTAGCATAGAATGAAGCTACTTGGTGCCTTCAGTGTTAGGGGTCATTGTTTTCTCAGGCAATTGTGCTTCACCTGTGGAGAGGGTGTTTGTTCTAGATATTCCAAAATACTTTAGGGCTTATATTCCTGTGAAATGACTTCAACGACCCCTATGGGTGTTACAGATGAAGAGCACAGGCTGTGTCTGTGTTTTTGGATTCTTGAGCTAACTGTTAATACCAGAAGACTTCACTGTAGTACTTAAAATTTGGAATATGTTGCTTTTGGATCTGCCCTGGTCTGGACAGCTCACTTTGGGTTGTTGTGTTGGATTGCTTTGCTTTTCTGGAGGACACACATTATGCAGTCAGGTAAAACCAGTGCAAGTTCTGACCCTTATGTTTTTCAAGTATGTTTATGTTTCATTTATCTGAAGTGTTTAGTATGGAACTGATACAGTAAAGGATGATTCATCTATAGGCTACAGTGAGAGAAGCAAGGAAGCATCCTTAATATGTCAGGCCTGCTTTTGGAAAGTTGACTTTTTGTTTGTACTGATTGTATTTTATTTTTTTAGAATGACATCCTTTCTGCCAGGTGTAGAAGGCTACTTCTGTGGAATCCAAATGCAGTTCTGAAAGGAGTGTTTGAAAAGAATTGCATTAAGAATTGCACAATGAAATAATTACTGGAAAACTTATTCTAAAAAAATAATCCAGGTGTGTTAGTTCCATACACATAAACAAAAAGAACAGTAATTGTGGATGGGGACTGAAATAAACTGAAAGGTAAAACACCTCTTAAAACTGGGTGAACATCTTGTGAGCTTTCTGGTCAGAAAGGAGTGGATTAGTGACAGTTAATTATACTCATAAGTAAGAAGAAAATGAAGGCTGAGATTGGAACCCTCCCAGACCACCCCCCCCCCATAACAAACAAACAGACCAGGAGGTATTTTAATAACATTATGATAAACCTAACTCCACATTGAAAATACCCTTTGTATATTTGTTTGCCATAGACAGCGGGAGCAGGGATGTTGGGTTTTTCAGGCAGTGCGTTGACTTAGGTGCTCACGTGCTGCAACAAGTTGTATTTTACTTTAGATCTGCTTAATAAACCCAGGCTATTACAGCATTTTGGAGGAACTGCAGTGCATTGTTAGTATATGGCTACACAGATAAACTCAGATGGTTTTTATATGCAGTAGCATAATACAGCTAAATATATTTGGATGCAGATTTTCTGCATAACTGTGTGTTTATCTTTCTTAACCTTTTAGGGTGAATTCATTTCTCATCCCCTGCACTTCTAAGAATATCTCTTTTCCAGTCTTTTTTGCCCACTCTTACCATTCTTCAACATAGTTAGTATTTACTTTTTTTCTAATAATCTCTGTGCTATTCAGTAGATTTTTCTCATCTGTCTTCAAACTCCTGCCCTTTCTTTG